GTGACAAATTCTTTGCTGGAAACGTCAGGCACTTGACACAAGTCTCATCGGCTTCATCAGCTACGTCCTCTATGGGCTGTTCAAAGCTTTTGCCAGCAAGTTCGTTCCCCAACCGTTGCTGCTGGCCACAGCGACGATGTGTGTACTCGAACACAAAAACATCCATCATCGGATTCCAAGCGCGCTATATAAGTACTAATGTTCACCATTGGGGCGGATGAACCCAACTGATCATTCAAAAACCCAACAGCATCGTTGGTAAAAAGCAGCTGCCAATGGTTATTCAGTTTGTAGACCGAATAATCATTCTGAAAACCCAACAACACGTTGGTAAAAGCAAAAGGTGTGTTCGCTCTCGGANANANGTGTTCAGAGAGCGGCACCATTCNNCAAACCCAACAANNACGTTGGTAGAANNAGAGCCTAAACGCATTTGCGATTTTGCTACCCTGCAATCACGATATAGAGCATTCTAAGATGCGAAAAGACATCTTGAGTGTAAACAACCACCAACTCACGAATTCATTTTAAGACTTAGTCAACAAAGCGAGTACCATTACTCTTGAGGCAAGAAAAAAAAAAACAATTGTCGTCTCTGTTCTTCAGTAGCAGCGCTGTCAGCGTCAGCAAGCGAAGCACGAAGTCTTTAAATCTTCATAAAAACGTGGAGTCTTGAAATCTCCAACACGAAAATCGTCCTCCACTACAGTGTTGATAACTTCAGCAGTCAAAGCGCTGCGTTTGCAGTATCGATGCACACTAACGGCCTAACCCCACAGCATCACACTAACAGTAATGTCATAACTTGGAACAGCAACATCGACACCCAGTGGTCCTTAACTCGGTACTATTGTCACTAACACTACCGAGCTGGGGGGCTAACTGTTGGGTCGGATTTCACCCGCTCAACGTTGAAGTCCAAAGTTATGCAAGCGCAGCGCATAGACACGGAATCGCATTAACGTACAGATATTACATGATTCTCCCAAGTCATTTCCTAACAAGAATATGAAGTCTTTCTCCTTTCCTAAGTCTTCTCCGTCTAAGAAGGCAGCCTTCTGAGTCCTCTCTACTCGCAGCAGAAGGTATGACTGCAGTAAGGTCACAGAGCCAGCGGGGACACAGTGCCAGCCAGGTCACACTGCCAGCGATGTCACACTGCCAGCGATGTCACACTGTCAGCGATGTCACAGTGCCAGCAATGTCACACTTCCAGCGATGTCACACTGCCAGCGATGTCACACTCCCAGCGATGTCACACTGCTAGCGATGTCACTGACCACCAAAGACCTGCCAAAGTAGCGACAAAGGCCAGAAGGTTCCCTGCGTTAAAGCCCAATCCAATTACGAAACCCACTTCGACGCAACTGACATAAAGAAAAGGGAATCCGCGAAGACTTAGGAAAGTTAGCATTATCTTTTATGGAAAAACCAAGCCGACTTAGGGAGCTATATATATCAATGTACAACCTTTGTAAAAGGGATCCCGCAACTTTATTCACAACAGCATACACAGCAATAACAAACGTTTCTCTTTACTCATCGTTTCTTTCGTAGCTTAACCTAGAAATCTCTGTTTCCTCACGAAACCCTTACAAATCTAGTTGTGCTGGGATTGACTCCCACAGATGAACTGGTCAAACAAAAATAATTACGATCGATGTGGAGTCTTGATTGGGTTAAGTTAGTTAAAAAAATAGAAATATTGCTGAAGATATGCTCAACCAAATAATAAATTTGTCATAAAGCAATTTAGATGGGGAGAAAAATGGTGGAAAACAAAAAGAACGGGGTAAAAAAAAGTGAATGGTGAAAAAGAATTTAGTAAATTAGATTAAAAAAAAAAAATCGGAATAGTAGCTTTTGTAGATATCTTTTTGACATAGATTAGATTAATAGAAG